AAAACTTCCATTATGGATTTTGATAAAATTTTAATGGCATGATAAATGAAGAAAAGTTAGGTTTATGAAAAACCAGCCCAAATAAGAATAAAATAACACATTTCTCCTAAATCACTAATCCCCTCTCCAGGACTGGCTATATGATATGTGTAGTTAGTTCAGTACAAAATAAAAACATGAAGCCCTTCTAAACATAGGACTCAATGAGACTGAACAGGCCTCATGCCCGTAAAGCTGACTCTTCTTTTACCTGCCCACCCAATGCACATAAACATCTTGAATAGAACACCACTTATTTACCCTAGTTTTATAGCTCAAAAAATAATTAGAAGCTAATGTTGGTGTGAGATAGAACATTCGGTGGGAGTTAGACAATTGTGGGTTCCAGTCTGGGTTCTGACACATACTTGCTTCCTGATCTTGAACGTGTCAGCTCACCTTCCTCACTTCCTGCTTTAGGGTTTCGGATCATACTCTGAACTTTGTCACTGCCATTAACTTCACTGCCTGCAAAGCCTCTATCTCAAGTATTATCTTCTCTGAAGACCACCTCTTTTCTGTCCTTATCATTTATTCTAGTACCCACATTCTAAAAATTCTTCAACTCCTTTGGAACCTCAAATAATCGATTTCACCATCCTTCTACCCCCACCCCAGTTTTCACCTTCCTTTATGCCCTCTCTTCCCTCCTCACCTAGCTGGTCCATCACTCTAATTCTCCCTGTCGTGCACTCTTAACTTTTGTTCTTCTCTCTCCCTTTGTGCTCATCCAGGAAAACCCCAGTCCTGTTTAACTTACCCTTAAATGTGGTTAAACCAGCACATTTCTATTCACACCTTGCCGGCAGCTGAGCAACCAACTGTCCCTGGCTCGAGAAACATTCACTCATCTCACTTTACATTTTTAACTGTTGATTTCAAGTGAACTCTCAAAACTTCTGGCAATTCTTATGCATTTCTTTAGAAAAAAAAATCACTCTCTCATTCTTTAGGACAAAAATTCACATCTTATTTTATCTTCTCAAATCTCAAACACTCCCCCTCTCATCCTCACTTTTAGCTGTTGACTTCCCTTCATGTTATTGAAAAAATCCAAGCAATCAAATGAAAACCACCTCACTTTTCCACCACCAGATCTGCTAGCATATTCTCCCTATGACAACGAAAGAAATTTCCTACTCCTTTCTGAGGCCAGCTCTTTGTTACCTGGACTCCATAAACTCTTGTCCATTTAATGACTTGCTTTCTGCAGTTATCTCCTCACTGTTCTGCAATATCAACCCCTCTCTTGCTTTTTCCTGGATAAGTTTAAAACGGACATGATGTAATATCTTTCATCTTTAAAAAAAAGTAAGTAAATAACTGTTCCTGACCCAATATCCCCCTCCTACTATTGTCTCATTGTTCTACTTTGATTTACCAGAAATCTAGGGAAATTTTCTATTTTCATTAACTCTACTTTATTACCTCATTTTCTTATTTTAACCTATTTTATATTTTCACCCCCACAATAGTACTAAAACTGTTCCTGTCAAAAGTCAGGATAAGCTCCCTCTTGCTAAATCCAAGCATAAATTCTCAGTCCTAACTGACTTCTCGGGAGCACTTGATGCTTCTTCCTTCCTCACAGATGTTAATTTTTTAACCTCCAGAACAAAACACTCTCCCATTCTTTTATTAATACTACCTCATTTGCTGCCCTTTCTCAGTCTCCTTGCTGGTCCCTCCTCTAAATGTTGGAGTACTCTAAATATTAATACTCAGTGAACAGACCTCATCTCCATCTTTCCTTGTCCCCTAGGTGATCCCATCTAGACCCATGCCTTTAAATACCAACTGTCAACTGATAATTCCCAAGTCTGAAGCCATGACCCTGAGTTTCGAATGCCTATCACTAACTGTCCGGTTGGCATCTCTGCTTGAATATCAAGAAGGCCCTTTTCCTGCACTCCCTTCTCTCAGGGCCAAGGCTGCTTCTACCCTAATATTCTTCATCTTAGCTAATTGGCACTCTCAGTTCCCTTATTATTCAGTCCAAAAAAATCTAAAAGTCTTGCCTAATTTTGTTTTCCTCAGCATCCATAAGCAAGTCCTGCTGGTGCTACCATAAAAATATATTTCAAAAAATCAATCAAATCTTACCACCTGCTCCACTGAACTCCTGGTTCAAACTCATATCATCCCATGATTAGACCACTGTAATAGCTTCTACTTTTGCCCCACTGTTCTCCTCCAAGTAACCAGAGTTGCATTTTTCAATATATAAACCAGATTATACCACTTTTATTCTTAAAAACTCCAAAAGGTGATAATTACACTCGTTGTTATCCCCTTATACACCGTGACCCCTGATCCTCTCTCCAACATTATGTGCTCACCACCAACTGTTCACATATTTCAATCTAGCCACACTGACCTTGACATTCATCAAGGACACCAAGCTTTTCCAACCTCAAGGCCTTATGTATGTTACTCTGTCTGACCGGAAAGATCTTCCTTAGTCCTTTACATGGCTTATTCTTTCTATCATTTAAATATCTGCTCAAATGTCACCCCCACAGAAAATATCTTCCCTGTCCACCCTGTTTAAATTAGTTTGAATATTTCTATAACTCTCTTTCCCATTTCATTATTGTTTAATTGTACTTACCAATATCTAAATATTATTTATTTATTGTTTACATTGTTAACATCTCTCTCTCTCCCTAAATACATGCTATGTATAAATACATAGTCACCTCTATATCCATTTGCCTAGAACAGGGTCTGAAATGTAGTATATACTTTGTGAATATTTGCATATAAATGGACTATGCCTAGCTCTACAACTGGATGGACAGTGAAGTAGATACATGTAGCCTGGTTTGAATCCAGATTCTAGCATTTGCTGGTCAAGTGACCCTGAACTGCATACTTAACTTCTCTGATCTTCAGTTTTCCATCTGAAAATGATGCAAAAGTGTTTGTAATTACCTCATGGGTCCCTTATGATGAATAAATGAGTTAATATGAAGTTTCAGAACAGCATGTATAATTATTCTTAATATTTCCTTTGGTTAACATGGTAGTTCTCACAAGTATCATTTATTAGTATCATTGAGGAAGCTTATTAAAAACATGGCTTCCCAGTCTCAATGAACAATTTATAATATATTAATCTAACAAGAACATCTTTCATATCTGCTTGTTTTTTCTTTGTTAGATGTCAAACATCTAATGATACAGAAGTTATAGTTCTTGCTATAAGCATTTGTAGCTTATACTTTTTCTATATTTAATTTTGATAACAATTTATTAATGGTAATAATCATATTTAGTAACACACTTATGAGGTGGATACTGCTAACTTTATTTTACATATTAGTATACCGAGGCTCAGAGATTAAATCACTTGTCGAAAGTCACAGTGTTACAAGGGATAGAATTAGGATTCAGCCCTATGTCCAACAGACACTGGAACCTGATCTCATTTCCACTGAATTAGACTGCCCTCAAAATTAAGCTCAAATTTCATTTCCTCGAAGAAGTATTTCTTGACTTCCCCTCTTGGGCAATGTGCCTCTTCATAAACCAACACCAATAGGGAA